TCTCTTGCAAGACACCCTGGGTCGACGATGAAGCTGAAAGAACGGTGAGAAAGACTCGGGAGACGAGCAAGAAGGAAAACTTACATTCAGAAGCAGCGCGTGCAACGTGAGGCGGGAGCTGTGAGGTGCTCAGCGATGGAAAGGCAGAGGAAGGAAAGCAACGAACCTTGGTGGTGGTGGAGCAAAGGAAAGAAGGGCCTGCGTGACGTTGTTGATAATTTGATGTCTTGATGAAAATCACGTCGTCTCGGTGTCATGGCTGTCACCGGCTCAGGGTCGGCGAAACGATGCAAGGCGAGGGAAACTGGATGCAGCAATGGGGTGCGCGCTCCGCTGGGCAGCTGGACGTGCATGACACAGGAATTGCGGGCGGACTCTGTGGGCCACAAAATACGCCGCGCACCCCCCAAAGTATCAACGGGCGCGCCGCGCTTAAGTTGTGGGGCCGACCTCCATTCTCGCGTGGCTTGTCCTCGAGTGCCGCAGGCGGTGAAAGGGAGGGAGGGGAGAGTGAGCGAGGAGATGACGACGGGGTCCAGACAACCCTAGATTGATGGGAATCACACGTGTTGCCGTCAACAACGCGGCGTTTCAATATTTTTAACCCGGAACATCGATAAGCCGGGGGGCAACAGTATCCATGGCCGGGCCATTGATGACGGCAATAGTACGCCGGGATGACCCGGCAAGGGTCGACGGGGTAGGGGCACGAGGGAGGGGTTCGAGAACAGTGCTCATTGTGCTGTGCCACAAGGCATTAGTGACCGTGAACTGCAAAGACAGCATCGAGGAGGATATTCACCATTATGTCGATATATTTTTAACTCGGGATATTGATGAGCCGCGGCTAAATTTATCCAGACATGGACATCGATACTTGGGCGGTCGAGAAGGGCCGATGGAGCCCTTACGGGAACGGAAATGAAGTCCAAGATTAAGCGAGGTGATGGAATGGAACCGCGCCGGGCTCTTCGCCAAAGTGGTGTAATGGCCAAAAGCGGCAATGGCCGGCCCTGAGCACAAGTGACCCTAACTAGATAGCTCTCTAAACGCTTCTTGGCTCAGCGGCCTTGCCCTGTTTCTGGTTTTCTGTCTTCACTGTTCTGTCTTGTGCTTGGCTGCAAGAAACTCTTGGTATATTATTTTTCTGCCCTTTCCACAGCTTTTGACATGCCATGTTGCTAGTCCTGAGGCCTCTTCACCCTCCTCAGACTTTTCCCTACCTTGCACTTGCAGTCTTCTAACGCGATCACACGGCTATGCTCACCCGCCATATCGGGCAATTCACCCGGTTGAACTCGGAATCTTCGCCCTTTGGATGCGGGGACTCGGTCAATTGAGACGGCCGATGCGTTGCCGTCATTGCCGGCTCCTCCAGCGTCTCCGGAGCACAATCGCGCTCCTGATCGCATCCTGTTCCACTTCAGATCGCCCGTGCTACACGCTGGGATAAGTCTCCTGTGCGGCCATGATCGGGGCAGGCCAACACATATGACGATATAGATAGCTCACCCTGAGCCAGTAGACCAGTCTGGAGCGCCATTCGCCGTCCCTGAAGAGCATAAATCGCCCAACACTGCCCATACCAACACGGAATTCTGTCTTGTTAAGCGAGGGCTTCGCATCGAACCGCCGCACTGTCACCGCATGACAGATGGGGTCCAGACGCGTGTATCCATGGAGTTATTTTGGTCACCGAGTCCCAAACGGCGATATGGTCTGCTTATTGTGAGGGATTCCATTTCATTCTGCTACTCTGTAGTTGGCTCGGATGGCTCTATTTGTGCTATTGCCATACTTGAAATGCTTCAGAGAAACGAAAGGGCAAGCTCGCTTACCATTGACATATTAACATCTCTCCATTTCTCCGAAGGCGCCCTCAGACGCAACGCCACCCTTTGACGTGCTCCACGGGTCTCGGCCCGACGGGGTATATAAGGGACGTGGGCCTCTGCCCACGCCCGCATGCCTCTTTCCTCTTCCCTCCATCTTCCCTCGTCGCGAGCCCGACCCACGTGATGTTGACTTTGCGCTTGCTCGGGTGAGTTTCTTGCCCGATTGCGTTGTGGAGGCCACTGACCTTCTCTTAGCGTTACCACCGTCTCCTTGCGACTGCCCATCCCCTGTGTCCTGTTGCGGGAGGAGGGAGTGTCGTTGTGGTCGTCGTTGTCGGTGCGTGCTTGTGGCTCGTTGTGCCCATGTTGCTGACCTGTTGTGCCAGCGAACCTGATCGTCGTCGCTCGTCATCCCACCAAGGTCAGTTTCATGTCAAACGAATCATCTGGGTAGCTTACCTCGTTTCAGTCCCACAACATCGCCGAACTCTGCCCCAAGTCCATGGTTCTCCCGCTCGCGGTCGTCGGCGTTGACCAATACACACGTTCTGCTTCTTCTTGATCCCTTTGCTGACCATGCTTCCCAGCGTCGCACGTTGGCGGCGGTGTCCATATCCGCCGTCGCTGTCCAATGAAGGTCAGTTTCGTGTTAGACTGCTTTGTGGACGGACTCACCTTTTTGTAGATCCGCAGCTTCCTTCCGTCTTTGCTACCTTGCAGTTGGGCGTTATATCTATGTGAGATTGGCAATATACTGTTCGTTGGATGTCGGACTCACGTGTTCACAGGGTTCTCTCGTCTCTTCGCGCTCGTTGGTGTTGGCACGAGTAGTGAGTTAGGTTGCGAGACAAGGGCTGGCTGGTGCGTGTTTATTGTTCGTGACTCCCTCTTGCTGACGCGCTGTGTAGTGTCAATGTCGAGGGCGATTCCGCGTGGGAGGCTTGATGCACGTTCTTCCTCCTCTCGATTTGTTTGCGGACTGTCCATACTAGCGTCGCGCAGCGTCCGTATAGGCGTGTGTGTTTGCGCTTGTCACGCGTCCGGGTCGCTCACTTGTTCTTGTTCTTGAAGATCGTCTTGCTGACCGTTCGTTAGCGGTCATCTTTCCGCCTCCAGCCTTGGAGAAAGGTGAGTCTGGCGCCATACTTGTCGTTGTCCTCACGCACCTTGTCCCAGTGGTTGCCCGTAGCAGTGGGCCTTGTTCGGCGGACGTCTCCGAGGCCGCCAGTGCGCTCTCCATCGCCATTAGTTCGCGCCATCGTGTGCATCGTAGGGACGCTGCTAAGCTATGTGAGTTTGTTTTCTCCGAGTCTTGCCTGGCGACTCACTGTCCCCTAGCTCGTGGACCTCCACATGGACATCGAGGGCGGAGATGGTGCGTTCGGTCGGATTTGGGGTTGAGGGACAGAGGAGAGGCGGTCTCGACCGAATTTATGGCGATCTGCGCGATGTAGGACTTGCTTTCCACGTCAGCGCGCTTCTCCCGCTCGATATATAAGCCCAGCGGGCCTCTCGGCGATCCTTGCTGACCGATTGCCGCCAGAGTGTCCATTCCGGCTGGGGCCGCGTTCGACTCCTTTGGTGCCGGCAATTGGCGCGGAGGGGCCGTCGGCGCAGTTTGGGACTCAGCGGGGCGAATTCGCCGAGTCCTGGAGGTAGTTAGCATTCTGTAGCGTCAGTGGGCCGTTCAGTGGCCGGCGCGGCGGGTTAGCGCGCCGTCAGCGGCCGTGCAAGGTGTGGGACAAGGCGCCGCCCTCTGGGGCGGGCGGTTGGCGGGCGGGGTGAGCGGGGAAGCGCGAAGATGAAGGGGTGAGAGTGGTTGATAAGCGGCACGTGCAACCGGGGAAGAAGCCCGATGGAGCCGGAAGGGCTCCCACGCTTTTTCCGCCGCTTCTTTTCTTCCTTCCCCCGTCTTTGCGCACAAGCGCGGCCTATCGCTGGCCCGCCCTTCGCCTCGAGCTGGCTGGAGGATGAGTCGCCGTCCGACTGCCGGTGCGTTCTCGTGTTCGTTGCTGCCTACATTTGTACTGAGCCTGCCGTTGCAGACTTTATCTGCTTACATGCCTCTGTCTTCGATATGGTGCTCAATACATACATGGCGCGCAAGGCGGTGGCCGCAAACAGCCCAGATTCCGCGCGTGGAATGCACGCAGTCAGACCAATGGAGGAAGTGAAGTCAGGCGCATTGGCGTAAGGTCAGCACGTCGACGTATGCCTCCGCAAGTGTATATGGCTGCTATACGGCTTCCGTGGACTCCTTCTCGCCGGCAGAGTCTGGCTGCCACATTCGCAACCCGAAAGCCTTCACCCTTCAATTTTCGCCGCTGCTCTGGGGGAACTGGAGCCCGTCGACAGGCTCCATTTGAGTTTGATTCGGCTGTAGAGCCGGACGGCCAGATTCTCCCCCACAAACGAGCCGACGAAGGCAGCTTACCTCGCCCTTCCGCCACGAAGTCACCGCGCTGCAGGCTGGCATAGACGACGGCTACCGTGTTGCGCTGCGGACCGCGGTACAAGCTCTTCCTTGACGCGGCCCGAGCGATTCCTCCCAGGGCCCGCGGGCGACGATTCACCGATGCCTTTGGCTATGGGCGGCGGTGGGTGTCGTCTCGTCCTGCCTCCACATTTGACAACTTCCAAGCAGAATTTGCGTCGGGCGGTATTTCACAGACAACAGCATCTGGATCGCTGTCGCGACGGTGCTTGCGATGTGCAAGGTTGCGAAGAAACGGGATGATGAGGGTAATGAGATCGAGCCCGTCTGGGAGATGAGCGATGGGCTGGACAGGTGTGTGCTCATTTTCTTTGGTCAATACAACATGCTCACCGTGGACACTCATCCACGTAACTTTGAATGTGCGGTTGGGCCAAGGCTGGACAAGGAGTTGCTTGACGATCTATACGTGTAACAACGACGCCCGTGCCGTCCCCGACTGTGGCTCAATTGCATACTATCTCAATACTATTCATGTGGCCAGTCACTTCAGGGCGGGTGGATCAAGTAAACAGGAATGAGCCCAAGAAGCCTAGAGACTGTTCAATTCTGCACCTCCTCTAAGGTTCACTTTTCAAGGATGAACAAATAATTTCAATCTAATACCAGTTGAATAGAGTCATTTACTGGCAAGTGTAGCCTAGAATCCTGCCTCCCGGGCCCTCTCCCATTCAAACTGCCACTTTGTAATCCGTATACCCAATAGCAGGGTCGACGCCTTCCGCGCCATAGAGATGCGCGAAATCAGGTGTATTGTCCAGTGGCTTGCCCTGCTCGATGCGCCGCGTAAGGTCGGGGTGCGTCAGCCAATGCAGTCCGAAGAATACGCCCTTGACGACGCCCGTACCGTCCCCGACATACGCCTCCGCATCCGCGACCTGGAGCGCAGAGTTGACGAACAGCAGAGAACGTGTGACGTAGCCCTTGAGCGCCTCGACAACGTCGAACTGCGTTGCGCGGAGCTTGCCGTCGAGCTCGACGTCCAGGAAGGGATTGTAGCGCGCAAGGACGACGTAAGAGAGGGGGTTGGGGAGCTGGTCGATTTGCGTGAGGAGGTATCCGAATGTGTCGAGCGTTTCGTCGAGCGGCATGCCCATGTCGTTGTACCCGCCCGTGGGGCTGAGTTTAATGGAGACGTCCTGCGGGTAGACCTCTTGCAGCGCGGCGAGTGCCTCTAGGATGAACCGCGAGCGATTGGCAGCGGAGCCGCCGTATGAGTCGGTGCGCTTGTTTGAAGTCGAGTCAAGGAATTGGTTGGGGAGGTAACCATTGGCAGCGTGGACTGAGGAGGAGTCAACATCTGAGGCCAAAGACACGGAAGTTGTCACAAACGTTCGACACCGTCGAAGCCCGCTGCTTTGGCGTTGACACCTGCCTGCTTGAAGAGCGCAATGATCGTCTTGGGGTCGGGGAGCTCCGTTGGCTGCCATATGTGAGACAAGTAACTGGAGTCATTGAAGCTTACTGTCACATAACCGGGTGAGCCCGGGAGGAATCTAAACTTTCCGCCCCGAGCAGCAATCGGCGAGGGTCCGTAAACCGGAACGCCAGCAGCAATCTGTTGCGGAGCGTCGGGATGGCTGACACGGCCAAGATGCCAAAGCTTTATGGACGCGGTCAGTAAGATGTATTGTTCGGCGGCGATAACGCTTACTTGTGCGTAGATCTTGCTGCCTCGCGCATGCACGGCGTCGATAATCTTCTTCCATCCATCGATATGCGCCTGGTTCCATATTCCCGGCGCTTCCTGCCATTCGGTGCTGCAAAATGAGTCAGAGAGTGGATTAGCGAGGGACGAAAGATGGCTTGCCCTTGGGGAGTGATGAGTACGCCCTCGGTGACGATAAGGCCCGCGCCGCCTTCCGCACGCTGGACATAGTATTCAAGCATGACGTCGTTAGGGACGGTGTTTGTTGCGCGACTACGCGTTAGCGCGCTCATTCCTGTAGAATGCGTCAGCGAACGGAGGCACTGAAGACGAAAAAAGACGCACCAACGCGATTCGGAATGGTGACAGAGCCGACTTTGAGCGGGGTCAAGAGAGCAGACATGGTTTGTGAGAATGGGACAGGTGGATGTTGGTGGTGTCTGTCCTGCCATCGTCGACCACGTTTTATACCCAGAAGACTTCGGTCGGGGTTGGTGATACGATGGGTGTGCGCGGGAAGATGAGGTCTGTTCTGGGAAGGCGCTGCAGGCGAGGCCTGTCGAAATGTCGTCTCTCGCGAGGTCTCTGTCCATTATTCAGCATTTGCTTTGGATTCGCATGTGTTGGTCAGCCGCGGATATGCGGCTTGCGTCAGCGGGATGTGGTGAAGGCGGTGATGCGCGGAGGGATGCTGATGAAGATGGTCGTTTCGGGAAGAGAAGCACCGGCTTTGTCAGCAGCCACGTTTTTTCTCTTGGACGACTCCCCCTCCCATCTTCGTCTTCGTTGATGCTTCCTTCCTGTTGACCGACCCTACCATCTCCCTAGGCCGCCACGGTATGTGGCACACGTCCACTTCCTGCCCCGCGCTGACCGAAAGACACGTAGGCCGGTGAATGAATGCGCATCTCGCCCCAAGATCGACCACCACCACCAATTTGAGCCTCAGGAGAGCTTAGAGTGCATCTAGCAAGTGCATATGGCTGCTATACCGCTTCCGTGGACTCATTTTCCCCGGCAGCGGTATCGTCTGGCTGCCACGTATGCAATGTGAACTCGAAAGCCTTTCCGGAGGCAACCGCAGCCCGTCGTTGGTGTGGAACCCGAGTGCGTGGCCTTCTCTAGCTTGAATAGCCACCTCTGACATCCATCGCACAGTCGTCATTTGAAGTTTAATTGCTGTATGGCCGGCAACGGCTTGTGGGACAGTGCGAGCGGCGATGGACAGCGACTGTGACATGTGTCCTCGAGGTGGAGCAGAAATGGCAATCCTTTGCGACGTTGTCCCGTTCCCCTTCGGACCCACATTCCACAAGCTAGCTCCGACAGATATGCAAAGGTCATGCAAGCGGTCAGAAGCGCAAATCTGTGTCCAGAGAAGTGAAGTCGGATTAGAGGAGATGGAGGAAGCGATTGAAAGCACACACATTTGTGAAGGTGTGAGTCGTTATGCTAATTTGCCTTCGTCTGCTGAAGTATTGTGTGTTGACAGCCTTCTAAAGGCGTTTCACCTCCGTCATTATTTGTCGACCACCCAGACGCGCACACACCGTCTTCATAGCTAGCTCGCCTCCGTTCTGGCTATTTTCGGACCCATCGTGCCAATACACACATGTCTTGTTCCTCCTTCCATGTTGGACCCACACATCCTACGAGTTTATTGTTTCCGTTGTTATTCAAAAAACGCCGATGTTCTCAATTTCGTGGACCCACAGACATCACTGTCATGCACTGCCCTCATTGTGACTATATAACGAGGGGAGTGTGTGTGTGTGGTTGCTGTAGCATCCTTTCCCCCTCCCCATGACCAACCCTCGACACGACCTGAAAGTCTTTCATCATGCGCTGAAAGAGAAGGCGCTGTGCGCGTCTGGCGCTGTACTCGTCACCAAGAACAGTATGCGAATTCTATACAACTCGTCTGAGACTGCTGGGTGGGTGTCCGAGCTTCCTGCAAGCGGCTACTGACATGACTGGGCCATAGATGGAGCTGTATCGAGATGGGCAATCCCTCGAGCAACGAGCTCCGGGCTCTCTGTAACGCGTGCAACGGCGCTGGGTGGCTAGACTCCCAGCGGCTGATGCCGACACTAGATGTCGGCGTTGTGCAGGGAATTGTGGCACAGATTGCGCCGGATATTGTGAAGGACTACTGTGAGGATGGAACTCAGCTGCTGCGGGCCGAGTTGGACGGACTGAGCGTCTACGGTGAGCCTGATTCCGTATTAATTGCTCAATAACATCGCTCAGGCCCGGGAACAAAGACGAAGAAGACCAAGGTCAAACCCGTGTCAGCCTCGCACGTCGGAACGCTGCTCGTGTTTCTCCCCACCCAACATACCGGCGGTGAAATCAAGCTGACGGAGGGGAACCGGAGCCGGACGACAAGATTCTCCCCCACAAACGAGGAGCCGACGAAGGCAGCTTACCTTGCCTTCCGCCACGAAGTCACCGCGCTGCAGGCTGGCATAGACGACGGCTACCGTGTTGCGCTGCGGTACAAGCTTTTCCTTGACGTGGTGGACCGGCCCGAGGAGGCACTGACGGCCGCTCTGCGCACGCTCGCGGCGGAGCCCGATGCGTTGTTTCCGGTTGGTGAAGGGGGATGGCTGGCCTTTGGGCTGCAGCATGTCTACAGCGGCATCCCCCGGACTCCGCGGGACAAGGACCATTCTCTCGCCAGCGCGTTGGCCGAACTGCGCGGCCCTGATGCGCGGGTCAGAATCGCGGCTGAGCACGCTGGCCTGCCGGTTGCGATTCGCTTGGTTTACCCGATTCAGGACCGCGATAACGAGATGCGGCAGCAGTATTCTGTCGTTGCGGACAAGGCGGTTTACATGCCAGACGCGACGGATGACGGATATGAGTATGCGACGGACGATCAGGAGCTGTTGAATGCCGGCCAGGTGCTGTGCCCCGTCAAAGTTCCGCCGCTGAAGCGGAAGCGCGGGTATGAGGAGGCGGACACGGAGGTGCGTGACTCGCGGGACTGCGCATGGGAGGACCTGGGGCAGATTATCGACCCCGAGAAGCTGGAGTTTGCGGACGTCTTCTGGGTCACCAGGCTCACCAAGATTAATGCGGTCGAGTCCGATTTCGTGGAGGGAGATGCAAAGCGTCCGGATATCGGCTATAGACATGGTTATGCAGCACTATTTGTGCATCTCCCACTGGCAGCCGCAGCTCAGGAGGAATGATGTGTATTGAGGTTTGTCAACTTGAATGTGTGGCAGCATCGTGGCAAGGTCGCTCACAGGACTTCGGTTAACTTGTAGTAGTCAATACCTACACTGTGGAATACGGTATTGGATATACTAGCTTTCTTAGCATCATTATTTGGGAGTACTTGCAAAACAGAAATGATGGCACAGAATGCACGTGACATGATGCGCACGGACCACCCGGCCACCCGCTTCTGCCGAATAGCCTTCTTGTCTCCGGCCACCGTCAACAACTTCGACTCAGATTAGCCATATTCAAGTTCTTCTGGAACAAGTAGAGGACTCAAGAGGGAACGCGCACCGCTGCGCCGAACATCCAGGACGACGTCTCTACTTCTGTTGCCACCCGCGTATCCCTCAGGCTGTCAACGCTTCCACAGGCGACCGACCGGCGACAAACTTACTAGTAAAAGCCTGAAGCTTCGATACGACTGCGGTTTGTTATGTCTCGCCAATCCATCACATTCATTTAAATTGCGGATCGCGGCACAGCTTCGAAGCATGACGCCTCGAAAGCCCGAGGTGAGTGCCATATCCCCATGACCACTGCAAGTCTGAAAGCGTGACTAGACGGATTTTCCTCTTTGCCATATCTTCTTTCCTCCCAGCCACAATGACCACCGGCCAGAAAGTCGTGCTGCCGAGCATCCACGAGATGTTTCCCGAACATCTCATTCACAGACAAGCTCAGGCCCTCTCCCCGGAACAACATTCTATACCTCGAAACAGTCTTGCTTTCTTATCCGAGTCGAAACCATGCGGGTCCCATCGCGCTACTCCACGGGCCAAGCCTCTCCCAACACTCTTCACACCCCCTCGATCCCAAGGAAGCGCCGGGCACCATTAAGTTCTCCCCATACCAGAGCTCCAACACAGAAGCCAACACCTCGTCAGCGCCTCGTCCCTCACCTTCTCCGTCGCCTTCCCGCTACTACGCTGAATCGCCCAGTCAGTCTATCGAAAACTCCCAGGCGGACAGTGATGACACTCGCGAACCTGCCGAGCTCGAGGAGGAACAACCGCGAGTAGCATATCAGCGGAAACACGTCTGCGTGCAATGCAAGAAGCGGTTTAACCGCCCGAGCAGTCTGCGCACCCACACGAACACGCACACGGGCGCGATGCGTAAGTGTCTCCCAGATTCACGCTGCCAGTAGTACTCACATGTCCACAGCATATCTGTGTCCACATCCGGGCTGCGGTCGCGCGTTCAACGTGAACAGTAACATGAGGCGACACTGGAAGAATCACGACAAATCCGCAGCAAGATCAGGCGCCTCGACGACCGTGTCGCGGTCTTTCATCGCCGTTCGGCCCTTTTCTCCGCCGCATTCGCCCCACTCCGAGTCTGCAAATAGAGTTGCTCAATTCTCAGCCCGCCTAAAGAACCGAAAAAAGGCGGCCATTTCTGATGAATTTTCAATGTAAATTGACAATTTGAATGTCTGCTCAACTCATATCCAATATATCATTCTGCTGTGTCAGAGTGTCGCTCTCTTGAGCTCTTTCTTTTTGGCGGTAATACTGGTAGCGCGCGGAGCGAGTCCGGCGACGCCTCTGGCCAGCCCGAGCTCTGTGAAATTTTGGCTCCATCTTTGCTCGCTGGCACACACTGGCGGCGCAGCCGCCCGCAAGCGAGGAACTGATGCATGCGCAGCAGCAGTGGCGCCCGATGCCAATGCCATCCAATTGACAACATCCAGCTCGCAATTCAAATATACCTACAATTCCGAATTGTCTGGGAATCATAGGCAACTTAAAGCCTTTGCGGCCTAGGGCTCAAACTATTTAGTTTTCATTTACACCTCCCCAACTAAATGAAAATGGTAAGAAAACATTTAGTAAATGGTTATTACCATTTAAAAACGGTTAAAAATGGTAATATAATAATATAAAATGATCAACCATTTTATCGTACGTACATACTTAAGTCTATAAGGCTTACTTAACTGAAAGATGACATTTTCTCCCTTATAATACTCTTCTAGATGGGCATGCATATCAAGATTCATTGCCTTTGACTTATTTGATGCCAGATCATGTGATAGATTCCTTTAAGAGGAAGCCTACAAATGCAACAACTATCCATATTCATGTGAAATTGTCAGGGGAACCTCCCTTTCGGCCCGGAGACGCGCCCGATTCCGGTCCGACTCCGGTTCCGACTCCGGTCCGGCCCTCCATCTCGCCCGCACAAGAACCGATCTGTCAACGCCCTCCCGACGGTCGCCCTGGGACCTCGCCTGCGACGCCGCCCAAGCCTTCTGTGCCCGACAGCGGCAGCTACGGACAAGCAGTATATAGTCAGCTCAATCGATAGCCTAACTGAGGCCCTTGCTTTACTCACCAACCAGGCTTCCGCTGCCGCTGCCGCCGCTAATAATGCTGGTGGACCCCAAACACCTTCGCCGGAGACGTCGATTCCGACTCCGACTCCGACTCCGGTCCAGGGCGACTCCGAAGCCCTTTTTGGCGACATCAACCTCGCCTCAAAATTGGTCTTGCGACCAAACCCCCCGTTCACCTTCAACGGCGACCGGAAACGCAGCCGCGCGTTCCTCTACACGGTCCGTACCTACGCCCGCCTTGCCCCTGAGGCCTTCGTGGTCAACGGAGAGGCGAGCGAGGAAAAGGCCGTCCGCTATGCCATGTCGTTTATGGCAGAAGGACCCGCTCAGCAATGGGCGGAGCGCCACGGAAGCAAAGCCCCGTTTCCGTTTCCGTCCTGGGGCTTGTTCGTTTCCGAGTTTCGACTCCGGTTTGTCGAGGAGAACGAGCAAGATCACGCTCTCTCCAAGCTGGAGACTTCCGCCTATCACATGGGCACAAAGGATGTCTACCAGTACACCGACGACTTCGAGGACCTGATGGACCTCGCCGGATTCGAAGACGCGTTGGTCAAGGTGACCAAGTTCCGCCACAGACTTGACCCCTTGATCAACAACGGAATCACGTCCTCAAACAACCCCCCGGATCTCCGGGATTACCTTAGCTGGCGCACCCGGGCCTTCCGTCAATACGAGGCCCTGGTCCGGGCCAAGCTGATCAAGTCAGCCGCCCCCAAGACGCCTGGCGGTTTGATTCGGACTCCGTTTCCGGTCAACCGCATCCCGGCTCCGGCCCCTTCCACCCGGTGGCTCCGGTCGTGCCACCCGCGGCCCACGCCCCCGCTCCGGCGCCTCCGGCCCCCGTCCCTATGGAGTTGGATCGCACCAGGGCTCGGGGTGCCCCTCGTCGCGCCTGCTTCAGATGCGGCGACCCAAACCATCTCGCCCGGGATTGCCCCCTCCCCGCCGATGTCCGCTCGATGGACATCCTCGACGAGGTGATCCAACAACTCGGTGACGAGATGTTAGCGGAGTTGATCGCCCGCTACACGGACACAGCTGCCCTGCCGGAGACGGCAGCGGAGTCGATGGCCGGAGAGGATTTTGTCCCCCGCGACGAGTGACTGGTATGCCCTTGTTCACGTCTATAAATCGTTTTGCCTCTTTGTATGATGAATGCAGTTCCTTGCCCTACAATGAGCCCGAAACGAAAGACACACCCTCCCCTGCCCCCGCCTCGACTCCGTCTCCGACTCCGCCCGCGACTCCGGTCATCGTCCTTCGCTGCCTCACTGCCTGGGAAAAGAAACTGCCCAAGCAGTACACCGTTGCCGCTGCCCCTGGGGCGAACTCCCTCCACCTCCCGTTGGAGCTTGAGTCCACCACCAGCGCGCTGAAGCTCTCACTCTCTGGGCTTGTCGACTGTGGTGCCACCTCCGACTTCATTGACACGAACTATGTTGCTCGGAATGGCATTCCGGTCCGCACCCTCGATCAGCCGATTCCGGTTTTCAATGTCGATGGCACCCCCAATGACGCTGGCTCCATCAAACAGATTGCGGACTTGGTCCTGCGCTACAAGGGCCATGCCGAACGAGTTCAACTGGCCGTCACCCATCTTGGCAAGCAAGACCTCATCCTGGGGTATTCCTGGTTGCGGAAACATAACCCAGAGATCAATTGGGAAACCAAGGAGGTCAAGATGACACAGTGCCCCCGCAATTGCTCGACCTGCCGTGAGGAAGAGCGCGTCGAAGAGACCGAGCTGCGGCGACTCCGGTCGCTTCAGAAGCGTCTCCGCTCCGGCCCGTTCCCCTCGGTTTGCACTATGGACCTCTCTGGCCCTGAGGACGGAGACGATTCCGATTCCGGTCTCGATTCCGACCTGCCTGATCTGACGCCGGACTCGGACCCGGATGACGAAGATGACCAGCTCGAAGATGGTGACCGCATCTTCTACACCTCGTTCCGTCCCTCAGAGGAGATATGCGCAGGTAGCACCGTCTCACAGCGTCTGGCCGAAGCCTTTGCCAGGAACTCTGCCCCTCCGCCCTCCGAGATCCCGGACTGGGCTAAGGAGTTCCAGGACGTCTTCAACAAGGAGTCCTTCGACACGCTACCGGAGCGGAGAACCTGGGACCACGCCATTGAGCTTGTCCCCGACGCTAAGCCCACCAACTGCAAGGTGTATCCCATCTCGCCCCTCGAGCAACGCGAGCTCGACGCGTTCATCGAGGAAGGGCTTTTGACGGGCCAGATCTTCTGCGGCCTGAACTCTTCCACGTCCGCGCACTCGAGGGCGTTTCCGTTTCCGGTCCCGGCTCTGAACTCCTCCGCGACATCCGTGATGCCCTCTCCGGTGAGCCTGACCTGGAGGAGCCCGTCGCACTAGCGGCCCGGCAACTTCTTAAGGTCCAAGGTCAAGCTCGAGGCCCCCGCTCTTCGCGGTCTGACGAATGGGCCGTCTCCGGCGGTCTTCTCCATTTCCGGGGAAAGATCGTTGTACCAAAGGACAAGGACCTCCGGAGACGCATCATCGAGCTCTGCCATGACACCCGAGTCGCCGGACACGCAGGTCGTTTCAAGACCTTGGAGTTGGTCTCCCGGAACTACTGGTGGCCTCAGATGTCTCGCCATATCGGCCGGTATGTTGCGACCTGTGACTTGTGCTGTCGCACCAAGGCACTCCGGAGACTGCCCCACGGAGAGCTGCACCCCACGGAAACGCCCCCGGAACGCTGGCATACCGTCTCCGTCGACTTCATCGTAGAGCTTCCCGAAGCCCATGGGTACGACGCAATCATGGTCGTCGTTGACACCCTCGGAAAGCGCACCCACTTCTCGGAGTGTCATACGACGGTCGATGCAGTAGGGGCAGCCCGCCTCTACTACCGGAATGTCTGGCGGCACCACGGGACTCCGGAGAAGTACGTCTCCGACTGCGGCTCGCAGTTCATCGCGGACTTCACCCGAGAACTTTGGCGTCTAATCGGCATCAAGCTCGCCACGTCCACCGCGTACCACCCGCAGACAGACGGTCAGACAGAGCACGTCAACCAGGAGCTGGAGCAGTACTTGCGGATCTTCACCAACTACCAGCAGGACGACTGGGATGAGCTGATTCCGGCCGCGGAGTTTGCCTACAACAACCATGTTCACTCCTCCATGCAGCAGGTCCCCTTCATGACGGGACACGGGACGCCGGCCGGAGACGCCGCCCGGCCGAAGACGAGCGCGACCCCCAATAGCCGGCAGCCCCATCGCCTATCGGTTGTCTTCGAATTAAGGCCCCCAGACATGCGGCACTGACGAGTAAGTCAGCACAGCATCACACAACGAGCATAGTGACGTACGGATATCCACTCCAGTGCAGCGCGTTCGTGTTCGGCGGCGGAGCCCGCACCTGATCCCGTGCACTCATGGCTGGCCTCGTCTGCTTCTGCACCTCCCCATCACCCTCCTCCGAATCGGCATCGCTGCTTTCCGACGAGCTATCCTCCGGGACGGCCACAGGTTCTTCTTTCGGGCCCCTGGGACATGCGGCACTGACGAGTAAGTTAGCAGAGCATCACACAGATAAGCAGACTGACGTACGGGTGTCTACTCGTGTCCACTCCTTTGGTGTAGCGTGTTCGCGCTCGCGGCGCTGAGTGGTGCTGTTATTTGGCCCCGGATCCACCTCTAGTAGCGTGAGTTGGCAATATACTCACGAAAGTTTCGCAGCTTACAGCTGAGATGCCTCGTGGATGAGGATGGTGGGGGGCGGAAGTCCCATTGGTAATATGGCGGCCAGGGCGGCTGAGCTTGGTATGGAGCGCTTGTCCTCTGGGGTGAGGGGAGGGGGGAAAAGGAAGAATGATTCGCACTTTGGTGTGACGAAAATTTTAATATCCGGATCAAATTCCCGCACAGCATGTCACGATGTGGCATCCGGCGCTCAATTGCTGATGGCAACCGTCAAGTCCAAGTCAAGTCCCCCAAGTGCTCAATGCCACTGGCCCTAAAGTTACATGTTTCATCTGCACTTACATTGTCTGATTTGGTATCCCCTATAGATACTGTGGTTGTAGTTAATTCATTTTGTAATAAGAAATTCAGACATAGTTTCAAACTCTAAATTAAAATTTGTCAATGTTCTACAGATTATAAAGTGCTGGGATACAGACAAATATGTCATCTGGATTCCAGCTGGAATTTCCAGCTGAGCAGAACTGCTGGAATTCAGCTGGAAACTACCTGGACCCAGATGTTGACTTATGTGGAAACCAGCTGGAATGTCCAGCTGGCTGACAGCTGTTGACACTTTGGTGGTGTATGTCCTACACTATATGTATTTGGCAGCCAGACATATTCCTAGTAGTAAGATAGTTATGAACTGGTCTGCTATTGTTATTAGGGAATAACCATTTAAACCATTTGTTTTCATTTATTTACCATTTACATACCATGGTAAACTAAATGAAAATAAAAATGGTTATAATGTTTGTACACAGAAATGGTTGGAGCCCTACCTTTGCCATGTCTACTAGTATGTTAGACCGCGCTCAATTATGCCAATCTCTTTGGTATCAAAGCGTATGTGACCCCGCGTTCAGCTGCTCCCAGTATCTAACACTCCCGCATCCAGGTCGCTGCATATTACCACCGCCCAATTCGTATCGTCCCTCCCATTCTTCCACGTCAATCGATGAACTTATTTCAGGCTTGGTTTGCCAGCATCTTTTGCATCGGATACCTTCTGGCGGCGGAGCCCATGACCTGGATGCTGCAGCGCTACCCCACGGGCCGTGTTTTGGGAGGCATTTGCTTCCTATGGGGCATTGTCGTGATGTGCGTTGTCTGTCAAGTTGGAAGTGTTGACTCAGGTCCACAGGACAACGGCCGCCAGTCGCTCTTTCGCTGGCACTATGGCAAACCGATTCGTTCTGGGAGTGCTGGAGGCGTGCGTTACGTGCGTTCTGCGACTTGAGCGATTCGTCATTGGCTGACAATGGGTACACAGTCCTGGACTTGGATTAATGACGCGTTCGTTGTTCACCTGCAAGTTGCTGAGCTCCGCTGATACCTTCATTCTAGCGCTCTGGTGGAAGCTCGAGGAAACGCCTGTCCGGCATCTTACTTGGGTTCGTCACTTATTCTTGTCTCCATACTCTTCATTTCCAAACGCACTAGTACTGCTTCAACGGCGTCGCAAGTATCGTGGGCGACTTTCTTGCATACGGACTCGGACACGCGACCCACAGCTCTGTTCCGCCTTGGGCATTGATATTCCTTGTGTGTGCCGCATCTAAATTTGCGACGCTGAAATTTGAATAGAGTTAATGGCCATTTCCAGGCACTCGGCGCGCTGACTACCCTCTGGGGACTGTTTCTATTTATCACCCTTCCAGATTCGCCCGTCGCAGCGCGGTTCCTCAATCAGCGCGAGAAGGCAATTGCGATTCGGCGCGTTGCTGCCAACCGGGTGGGTTGCAACTCGATAAAAGTGGCTATGAGTGTTCAAGGTGGCCGGTAGACGGGGACGAAGAACAAGGTCTTCAAGTCGTATCAGCTTGCGCAGGCACTTTGCGATCCGAAAACGTACCTGCTCTTCGTGGCCAGCATCGCCGCTCAAATACCCAACGGAGTCGTTTCAAATTTCTCCAGGTTTGCTAGCCTTCATTTGGTCACGCTGCTCCTAACACGCTTGCTTTGTTTGCTAGTATCATCATCAGCGGGATGGGCTTCACGCGCTTCCAGACGACGCTGCTTGATATCCCGAGCAACCTGATGCAGATCGGGTCGCTCGTCGCAAGCGGGTATCTCGCGGGCAGGTTCAAGAATAGCAGGGCGGTTATGATGGAAAGTACCCTCCGTGGTTGTGGCCTTCGTTGCGGCTGATATTGGACGCCCTCGATCCAGTTTGTGGGCAATGCGACGTGCATCGTGGCAGCGGCGGCGCTGACGTATGCGCCGCATGACCAAAAGTGGGGGTGCGTTTCTTGATGTTTTTCGCCAGTCATCTCGGACTGAGCTGATCATCGAGAAACAGCCGCCTGGTCGCGTTTTGGTTTACGTCCTTCCAGTCGGTCGGGTTCTCGCTCTCGCTGGTTATGGTATCAGCCGTGCGTATTTAATCTCTTTTATTTGCCGTTCAAGTTCATGATCTGACTCTGGCGGTAGAATGTCGGAGGCTTTACGAAGCGCCAAGTGACGACAGTGGTCACCTTTATTGTGAGTATGGATGCCGCTCTCGTTCTGCAACTGTTGAAGGGTTCATAAGGGATATTGCGTGAGTTATTGAACTTCGTAGTTCATTGTCCGGTACTCACAAGACTCTAGATTGGAGTAAGTCTCCCCTGACCGGTAGACTTATCCGTCGATAGATAAGCGTCCCTCTAGAACATCGCCGGACCCCACGTCCTGCTGCAGTCTGAAGCGTCTGCTGGGTACCCGACAGCGACGAAGGCGATGATGGCGGGCTATGTTGTGAAGACAGTGTGCCATGTGTTGCTGGGAGCATATATGTGGAACGACAATCGCCTGCGCGATCGTGTGGCGCTTAAGACGGGGGGTGAGTTACCGTCAGAAGATGAGCGGGCAAGGCTCGCAGAACAGGAGGGCATGGTGCGTGTTTGGGTGGTGCTTGGGCAGGGCTAATGGTGTTGCAGAAGGATGTCACGGAGTTTGACAATAAGTGGTTCAGATATGTTTTGTAATCTTGATAGGTGCATAAGGTCGGGGAGGAATGTATAGATTTCTTTGCTTTAGGTTGGCACCCAAGCGTAATACACTTTTGGGGCTGAAACTTACTTAAGGCGTGGAAGATTCACAAATGTATTGACTCTGTATCGGTTTCAGAGGGTTTTTCTCAGCCTGCTCCATTCCCACTCTATATGTTACACTGGCATACCCGCGACTTATTTGCATTTCGCTACAACGTCGTTTCCGTCCTTTCCAGCCTTGATAATCTTCTGCGTTACACTGGCCAGCGTCACGCTGAGGCTCTTACTGCGTTTCCATTAGCGCGCCCAGGACAGGAGGCGATATGTTGATTTACTCACTCTTTCAGTGTCTTCTCCGCGCTCTGCAGCCCCTGAAGCGCCGCAGTCAAGCCCTGGTCAACCTGGTCGCGCGCTGCCGGTGGAGCCTTGTTGTTCTCCAGAACGGCGTCGAGGATCGTCTGCACGGCCGCGTTAACGGTGACGAGGCCGGTTTGTGCGACGGCAAGCGCAGCAGAAGTGGGCAGGTCGGTGGCGCTGGCGTCCCGCATGAGTGTTTCGCTATGGGGAGAAGAGAAGGAGGCGCACGTGGAGTTTGCGCCTTGGACCTGCGCAATCAGTGCTTGGGCAGAGGCAACGTCGTTGATGATCGAAAGCCGCGCAACGTTGCAGTCGAGGTTGCCGAGCTGACGCTTCGTGGGCGCCGGTGCTGGGTCAAGTTAGTCGAAAGACAGGGTAAGTGACGGAAACGCACCTCCGAGAGCGAGAAGTGACAGACAGAGACTGGTGAAGACAGCGAATCGCATGGCGGGGAGGGACGGACTTCAAGTCGAGAATCTGGATACTGTGACGAAAGTGGGAAAGAGACACCAGGTCTTGAGGCGGAGAAGAGGGCGGAATGCTGCTATCGACCAACGCCCGGGGCTTTATAAGATCCTGCAAAAGAAGCGTGAGTATATCAGGAGAAGAAGCCCATTGCCATGGAATCGTTGCTTACCTCGATATGCACATAAGTACTGCGGTCAATATTCATGGCCCAGTGTCATTCTGAGTCGATGGCGCTGGTCCCGACAGTCGATACACTCTGTACGTTGTTCTCTGTACCGCCGCAGAAGTTTGCAGACGGAATCTGCGGATGGGCGGAAGACAACGGAAATGGACGATCGCCCCGTAAGTCGTCGGCCCTCTGCGTGAGGCTGTGTGCTTCCGTCGGCGGTCGTTAACAGTGGGGCATAATTCTGCTGCGGGCGCGGCGCTCGACATGAAGAAGCGCGGGCAGCTCGGGGGTGAACTGCGGGGAGTGGTGGCATTGGAAGAAAATGCAAAAACGTCACGGTGGCCACGTCAGCAGACGGCAGGTTGATCGGAAAATTTTCGCTGCCAGAAGAAACACATGCATGTCCCCATGTCACACTGATCACGCTGATGACGCGCTTGATTCCCGCCGCCATGCATGGCGCGCCGCCCGAGGTGGCGGGTGTCGTTTCGCCCGGTCAGCCCGTCTGCGACGATCCTCTGCTGGAGCTACAGGAGCTGGCTGCCTGCAGCGACGCGCGGGAGCCGCTGGATGGTCGCGCTGGGCAGTCAGGTCTGGACCAAGGAAGGTCGCGGACTTCAAACGAGGTGTGTTGTCGTTGTCTGTGCCGACGTCGCCGAGTCCCGACTAACCGTGTTCAGGACGAGTCGCTTCTTCGCCAGCTGGGAGCTCTTCAACGCGAGAATACTGCGCTCCAGAGCGTCAGTCAATTTGCGGATCGTGTCCTTCAGCTTGTACTCACACCCTCTCGCGTAGGCACTAGCGGCGAGCCAGAACGACACGGAAGCCACCAGTCAAGCGCTCTACACACTCCTCAAAGAACACCATGCCCTTGAAGCGGAGCTGGCCGCATCGAAAGCGAAGTTAGCTGGCGAAAGTACCGAGGCGGAAGCCATGCGCGTCTCTCTCAGACTGGAGCTAGAGCAGAAAGATCATCGAGTGACCTTGCTTAACGACGAACTTATTCAGGCGCGTTCGTTTATTTAAGCTTTGTGAACTGTGCTAACGAGAACTCAGACAAGACAGCACTTTGCGCGCCAGACGACGGAGATGAAAGAGACGAAAGATAAGCTAGAGCAGGTTAATATGGAAATCATTGTGCGTCCTTATTATACTGATCTTGGCCACTTACGCTAACTCTACATTGTGTAGGAACTGAAAAAGACTCAACGGACAACAGAACACGAAGGAGTCTGTCGATCGCTCCTTGCTGACATCTCCACTCACCGAGGAGGGTACAGGACGCTAATAAGCTGGTGCCACTCCAGCTCATCGAAGCACGTCTCGAACAGCTCCAGATGCAGCATTGGGCTTTGGCCGAGCGCGCAAGCACGTTGCAGAATGAGAATCAAGAATTGCAAACCAAGAACAAGAATTTGAAGGACAGCATCATGCGTGTAGCAGCGGAGGTCCGCGAGGTGCGTTGCAAAAAGCTGACCTGCCTGTCAGTCGTGTCTGATAACATGGGTCCAGGAAATGAAGAAAGAATCGGAGTACCTGAGGGGGGAGTTGTATGTTGTCAGTAAGGAACGCGACGACGTGGGTACCATCCTCTACACATCGTTTCATCATTGCTGAAGGTAACGAGCGAACCGCGGAGCTGATTAGAACCGCACGCGGGAAGATCGAAGAGGATTTGAAGTTGAAGAAGACGGTATGTGTTGTCGAAGTTGGATCATTATTTATTCAGTTCCGCTCAGGAAAGCGATCTGGAGACCATGACCAAGGTACTTTGCTTCGCGAGCACCACTTAAATGTGCTTACATTGGTCTTAGCAATACTCGGAAGCAAATGCCATGCTGTCTAACCTAGCAAAGAACCACATCGTTCTTGAGGACACGGCACTAGGTGTTCAGCGCCAGAACAAACTTCTCACCAAGCAGTTAGCCGAAGCGATCGTGGAACGGGACCGCTTCCGGACCCTTGCGCAGAATGGCGCGCGTGATCCGGTACTTTTGGTTTTCTACTTTAACGCACTTATCCCTGTTCCACAGACAACGGACGAAGAGAGGATGCTCCGCCTCGAATTCATGAACGCCCTCCCTCGTCCTTCCAGCCGTCCGGGCTTCGTCACGCTGGCTCCGATCCAAGCAATGTCCACTGGCCATCGGTTGCTCAACGTCAAGGACTGGCGGCGCGCACGGCCCTTTCTGTACCTGACACATCGCATGGTCTGGTGCGGCCCTGAGCGACTGCACGGGCTCGCTTTCTCGGGCACGCACCGCTTTGTGGCGGACGAAGATGGGGGTGGGAGATGGGAGATCAACGACTCGTTGAGCAGCTTGGTTGGTCGGGAGCACGAGCTGTTTGTGCATGCCGGGTCGCTGATATACTATGTGGGAGTCTACAATGTGCTCAGCCTCAGCCACATTTCGGGGCCGACGACGAATTTGACGGATACGGTGCGCTTCTTCTGCTCATCACCAAAGCCTCCGTACTGACGAGCATTTGTGCTAGACGAGAAAGGCCTTGCTGAGCTCGCTGGGCCTGAGCGGCAACAAGGCGCTCGCGGGACGGCCGCATTCGGGAGCGGTTCTCCAGCGGGAAGGCGTCGATCGAGTGGTTCGGGCTGCAATGTGTTGGCTTTGACGATCCGCTGTACCAGGAGTTGCAGGGGATGTGGGTCGATGGTATGGCGAGGCGGTGTGCCGGTCGCGGCGGTGCCTGCGGGAAAGAAACGGAAGCTAGATGGAGATGAGCGGGATGAGGGAAATAAAGAGAATGGAAGGATGCAGGCCGGCGGGAAGGTCGCCATTTCCGATGGGTGACATGAAGCACAGAGATTTCCGAGCAGCGAGGGACTTGCGCGGGCATAGCTTATTGGCGAGCCGCATATGTACCATTAAAGCGAGTGCATTATAGACATACAACAACAAGCAGCATCAAGGCATCAAGAAATACACATTTGAGGTGTCCATATGGAGTCTACTAGCCACGTCGCGCGCGTCGACTCGGAGGAATATCGAAGGGTGCCAGTTGAGAGTCTTGAGGGATAAGCCCGGCCGCCTTGAGCTCGGCGTGCTCCCGAAGACATTGGAGCTCTGCGAGGCGGGCGGCGCGTGCGTAGTATTGTGCTTGGATATTGTTCAAGGTGGTCCGGGCAGTCAGTTCCTCGCGTTCGGGCGTGAGCGATGGCCAAGTCGAGCTGGCAGCGCCATTGCTGGTAAGTAGCGGCACTCGCACCGAGAGCAGGCACCTAGAAGTCTGGTTCATACATCACGCTGAAGCAGACTCGGTGACGCACTGTAGCAGGTAGGGCCGGCGCAGGGGCGAGCGTCGTCTTCGCCTCTGTTGCTTCCCTCTTTCTTTTTGCGGCTGGTGCGACTGCCTCCTCCTCCTCCTCTTCCTCCTGCTTCGGATTCTCGTTTTTCCTCATATGGACGTCGTCGAGCGCGTTGTCAGTGGGCGCAACAGGTGAAAGCTATTAGATGCGTCCACCGTCAGTAGTGCAAGATTAATCCCAGCAGGAAACTAACGCGGGATTGGCTCGTCCCTTGCGATGGGGGGTCGGCTCCACTGCCGGAACCAAGGGGGGCGCAAGATGCCTATCACGGCTATGGGGCAAGGGGGGGGGTCCAGAGCCTAGAAAAAAAACTTTTGTGTTTGGTGTAGGGATGCTTCAAGAGGTACTTAGGAGGCCTTTCATATGTAGATCTTCCATGTTAAATGCCATTTTATACCTTTGAATGCAGTGAAACCCAGTTTTTTTGGTGAAGTGACTAAACTTGTCACAGTCTTTGATAGCATCAACATATCATCATGATGCAAGAAGCAATACAACTTTATATGAAAGTTCATTTAAAGGCATAGGAACATTATAATAGCCTAGTTACAATTTAATTTAATCACATTTTCCATTTTCAAGACCTCTATCGATCATTTTGATGCGATTTTGATCGTATCAGTCACGTTTTCGTGGGAGATCATTACTATATAAGGCAGGAGGGGGGGGAGGGGGGTC